ATGTTTACAACAAACACTGATCTGTTTTTATCCGTAGAATATAGAAGCAGAGCAAGATCGCAGAAAAATTAGTTAGATATATGTATGTGTGTTTTTTAATATAGTGCTTTCTTGCAAGAACGTTCGAAAATTTGGCCACTGAACGAGGCACTAGGAGCTGAAACCAAGCCTCGAACGGTTCTTTTGCGTGGCCATATGAAATTACAATAAAGATGCGTATGATGTATTTTTTCAGTGTTTATTTGTACTCCTCCAAAATTTGTACACACCTATACACTACTCAAAAATTTCTCTCCTTCATAAGCCCGTTGTAAGCTTATTATCCAGTGAATCAAATCCTACCTCGAGTTCAAGTCCCAAATCTAGATGCTCCCAGAAAAGAAAGTGCCTTTTCGATAATATCTCTATTTTGTTATTTTCCGATGCCAAAAGGCTGCCGAAGGAACCCGGGTTGCTTGCCCCGTTTACAATAGGGACTCCCTGCATAAGACATCAGTTTAGAGGTAACTGGCAAAGTTCAATAATGGAAATTTAGAACTGGCGGATGCATTCCGCCCCAGTTAGTGAGGACCACGTAGAAGCTAAGGAAAGACAGCTGGCCAATAATTTATAAACTGGACGAGAACAGAACGATGGTTTCGTGATAGCCGTCAGGTATCCTGAATGTATGAGATTTACTAAGAAAAGTAGGAGCCTGGGTGCTCCATAATCTGAATGAAGAGCTTGAGGAAACGCTGCTTCTTATCGTTCCGCAACACCTCGTTGGATAACAAAGAGCTGCAATAACAGGTTTCTACAAAGCATTATTATAAGTGTTTTTACGTCAACGTGAAGTAAAGAAAGGAATGGATAGTTCCGAAGAGGACGCCTAGACCCTGTGTCAAGCCAGATTTCCATTCTAAAAAGACAACGATATATATCTGGTAAAAATAGGATTTCTTAAGAAAGACTCAAAGGATCAGGCGGAACGGCCTTTTCTGACAACAACGTTAGGTCACCCACCTCAAAAATTGTTAAAACCGCCTAGCAGCTACGATGCAGTAACTGAAACGAATCAGAGAAATAAGAAGATCGCAGCGATAACTATATTGTGAATGGGAAAAGGCGGAAAGGAGAAAAGTGCGCAATCACTTACAGTTTCAATAAGATTGAACTCCGCTCCAAAGCTGATATACAGCTCTAATTAAACAAAAAAGCTATAGACACAAAATGATAAAGAAGGGTAGTATGTGTTCATGTCGTAGAAGAAAACGGGTAAGTTTAGCTTGAATATTTATAACTATTGAAAGCCTATGGGCACAGACCAAGTAGCGACAGGCACTCACTCAGCCTTGATATATACAATTATTGAATTTTTTCTAATTGTTCATTACGGCGCTAGTGTTTAAATGCTTCTTCTCGTTACATCACTCAATATCTTTGTCGACTCGATGCAGTTAACGAAAGTAGTTATTAGTTAGCAAAGAGCATTTTGATGACCTCTGGCGAGAAAATTGCAATTTGGCCATTGGATAGCATCGGAATAGTGCAATAGAACCCAGGTAGTGTTAGCCGTTACAAAAATATCGACCCAAACACGAGTAGCAGTATGTGGTGAGCCCAAGAAACAGACAGGTCCTCCTGTCAAAGAAACTGAGGCAGTGGTCTCGAACGTCGATAGCAGTCTGTTGCTCTAGTACGACGACGTGACCGGTCGTGAAGTCTGGGCAACAGTCAAAGGGAAAGCAGCCTAAGAGAGGTTATTATGCAGTTTAGCCGCCTTGTAACCGTAGGCCAGCTTGGTCCAACGTCTCTAAAGACATTCAGAAACTGCTGTCAAAGCAGGCCACTAGCCTCGACTGAGACAGTTCGGATCTACCAAGCTGGGCTGAGTCAATCTTTGGGCCACTGGCCACAGCAACAGCTTAAGGAGGCTATCTCCATTTACACTTCTAACCGTCCAACGGGCCGCCAAATTGCCTTAAGAACTCTATTGTTGTCCTGTATATGGCCAATGGGTAGTTAAATGGTTGAATTCAGTCAGTGAATTGTGATATCGTTATAATGAGGTGGCAGTGAAGCGATACCGATTCAAATATGCGATGGAAGACGCAACAAATTCTAGTTTCTTTCATCTGCTCTGAAGAAGAACAGGCAACAAAAATATCAACGAGAATAGGGACGATTTGTGCGCAGCAAAACGTGATTCAGTCCGCGATACCGATTCTCACAATAGTACAAGAAGTGCTAACGTTGCCAATCACAGTGCTGTGTTAAGGTAATGCTTGGGCAGCAACAATAGGTATTGTCTAGTTCTCCGCATGAGTTTCCTCCGTAATGGCAGTAATGGAAGCATTTGCTGGAACGATCAAGAAAATCATGACGATATTCACAACAATATACCACTTCGTATATGACAGTCACGGAACACGTGCCACACAGAAGATGAAAGTAAGGGGCAAGAGAGTCTGCCCTACGCTTTTTTGCCGCCGCGGGTAAACACGAAACTAAGTCGGCCAGATGTGAATAGTTATGTGTTCGTCTAACCTGGATTTTCGGATATTCGGATTTCTGGATGGAAGGACAAATTAAAAGGAACTGATACAGAACCACAAAGCTGAGGCTGTCTGTAAAACAATTTTTGGAAAAGTCACAATCTTTGAATGTTTGTTGTCACTAGACAAATCTACAGGTACATATACGCGTGGCAATTATGAAAAATAAATGACACCAAGATGCATCCATTTTACTTGACTAGCCCTAGTACCCTTTCATCTGCAACAATGCCGTTTGATGGTTGGATTCCTACAATGGGAAATGTCTTGTTGTGGCCGTCGTGGTTCCCTGACTTCAACAGCCGGTAGGTCTGGGAAACAGGAAGTTTTCATGGCGCCACTGATGGCTTCCGTTCCGTCGCCATTCGGCAGGTTCCTTAACTTGTTGACCCACTTGGCTGCATTGTCGCTGTCGACAGTTGCCAACAGTTCACACAAACGCACATCGCACGCACTGTGTCTACACACTACTAGGAGGATGCGAATAAGAAGATACGACACTGTCTTTGTTAGCTGATGAACTGCTCACTTCGTGTCTGAAGACTGTTTCCACGACACGCAGTAAGAGCAGCGGCCGAATCGTTTTTGCGAGCCACCCCCTACCTTGTTGACGTCGTCGGCGAGTGAAAACAATGTATCAAATCTGTTCGGCGGTACTACATACGAGAAAAGATCTTGTCAGTCAATCTGTCCACCTCTTGAGTTTAAAGCGGTGCCACCACTGTTGTTTCTGATATTATACATAGTACAATTACTATCTACGCTCACTGAGGATCGGTGCCTGCGACGAATCTGAGCATAGCCTCACCCACGACCACAGCCTGAACGTCATTCGCCATGGATTCGTTTAGGTAAACCTATAGAAGGTTGCCCTATATTACTGTTGTTTTTGCAGCTGCATATTCATCCAGTTCTATCCAAACAATGGCCCTCTTTTTCATTCTTTAGAGCTAAAAATCTCTTGCCGTCAATGACATCAATAAATGACAACAAAAACGTCAATGAAATCTCTCGTCCCCACTATGAGATACGGCTGAGAGGTACGAGGTGTAGAGCTATCGCCGTCGCTTCTGCCACCACAACCATGAACTCAAACAGCTGGCGATGGTTGCTGTTGTTCGAATGCTGAAGACCATATGTGCCCATATGGCTCTAGTTCTGGACTGCGTTTGCTGTTTCCGTCACTTCCCCTGCCCCCCAAATTTTGCGTGTCACTTGTCGCCCTTCCGACATTCACTATTCTCTTTCATCTACTTCGCTCACGCTAACTTCAGGGCCTCACCGCTTCGGCCCTGGATTCGGGCCTTGAGTAGCCGCCAAAAGCTACTGCTAGCCACTGTCCCATACTTTTCAGGGTTCACCGTGCACCACGCTCTCATTGCTGTGTGGCCAGCACTTACTGCTGAACGATCCGCGTATGAATGCTGCAACTAGTACGACCACTATTCGCGGGAATATTCTCGCAGAACCGTAAATGTCCCCAATGTTCCACACGTCCAGCCCGATCGGTTTATCACGCTAAGCAAACGGTCCCTTAGAACCCTTCCCCCTTTTGTCTATTCTCTGTTATACTGCAGACTCGCTCATTATTAATACTCTATCCTAGTCCATCCCACTGGCTACCCCCTCAACCGTTCTCCTCTTTTGCCCGCATATCCCGTGGCAAAGTCCATTCCGCATCGACCTTCCCTCCACCAAAGATATTTCCCATGCAGTTATGTTGGTCAGGCTGCTGGTAGGAGGAGTAGGCTGTTCTTGAAGCTGATCCTAACGGCGCCAATTGCTGTCTGTAGTTTTTGAAATCGTTTGTGTGTGTGTGTGTATGTGTGCATGCCTCTGAATGTCGTTCCCTTTAGCTTTAGGGCTGCGTAGTGTGTGATAACAAAGACGTGCAAGCACAAGCAGAGCTGTTCACTCTTTGCCCCCTATTTCTCTATCATCCGTTACCCACCGTTATCTTCTATTCGATGTGTATGGCACCGTACAACCTCTCGAAACGTAGCAGCCTTTCGCCCCACTCGACTAGGATGCCTTTACTCCGCGTGCTTGCCCTCTCCACGGAGGGCCCCGGCGACCCCTCGCTATCCACTGTCACCCTGTCCTAAGGGCCCTTACTCATCGCGAAGGGGGGTCTCGTCGGCCAAGCAAGAACCTTAGATCAAGACCCGCCGAAATTGAAAACTAAACATTGTTTCTACAGAAGTAACAGTGTTATACGACGAAAAACCAATGTATAAACACACAGGTATCTAGATTAGGTATGCTAAATAGAAATCCGATGCGCAAAACATCATTCAGTTGCAGGACTTATTGGGAAAATAGTCTGCCTTTAGCTGGCGCGCTACCGCTATCGTCCTTCGTTGTACCGTACCCTGCGAGGGCCGTAGAGAGACAAAGGGCGGTGTACGCGCCCGCGCTCCCACGAGAAGCCTCTATGCGAAAGACAGCTAACAACACGGACACAAGCGTAGGGAGTTAAAAGCTTAGTGGTCGGTCTGTCGAAGAAAATATGGCAAAAATAACCTAAATTGAGCGAGTGAGTGCAGTGCTGTGCTGAAACACGCGAGCTAATCCGTCTCGGAGCCGCCGCAAAAGTGCACCGGCGACCGCAAACACGATTCCCGCCGCGATCCGCCATCTGGTTGGTTGGATACCCGTGTTCACTACTACTGCTACTTCCATATAACTATATATATATCTCATTAATTTATAACGTATTCTCTCATATTGTATTGTAGAGTTTCGCGTGCTGCTGACCCGAGTTAGCTAGCCCAACAGCGAGCCAGCAACTTCTTCCTTATTGCAAGCGCTGATAACACCTAGGTCAGCTAAGAAGTCAAGCTCTAAGGCAAGTATCCAGACAAGCAATCGCTTGCAACAGGAAAAGCGACCACCTACACGGCAGTGCAACCAGCGATCGTGAACATAGCATCAAAGCAAAGGGCTTAATTTGACTCTGCGTTCTGCATGGTCGCTTCGTGCCTGTTGCCTCATGAGCGCATTGTCTTGGATTAATCTCCGCAATATTGACCAGGTAGCAATTTGTGTTACCAACCACAATCAACTCAGGGCTCGAAATTCGCTCGTGGCTCTCATCTGCCTGTTATCTTGAGCGTTTGTTCGCCTTTCCGCTAGCCAACCGCACAGGCCGTGCTGCGTTACAGCGAGTACGAGTCAGAGTCTACGGAAAAATCCTACCACGAAAGTTTCTTTGCTCTGCTCGAGAATCTCGGGGCAGGGCAAATTTTCGTTGCTTCCAGCAGCCATCTGCTACTAACTACTAACCGCAGATCAACGATAGGCCGTCGGAGCTGCGTGCGTGTGTGTGCTGTTGTTCGAATGTTACGTTCAAGTACCAATCTACGGATTACTCGACTACCAGCTAGGGAAGGACCTCTAGTGTTGGAGCATTGTAGCCATTGCGCATCGTACGATCACTGTGTGAAAACCTAACAACATCAGTAATAATAGCTGCGTGAAACATCTGTATGTCAACTAACGAAAGCGGTTCCCGACGAAACGAATGAATCTAGACAGCTTCATGTTGGTTGACTTCGACCGGAGCGGCCAGCACAATTACGAATTGTTCGATATTGTACTATCTATGATAGATACATCAGCGGATCTATTTGTCTGTCCGTTTGTCTAAGTTATCTGCACGCTTCTACTAGACACATTAGCAATGCGGGTGATTCGTAGGGAGAAAGAGATGGATAGAGAATTGCTTTACCATCAACGAAACGTAACGCCAACCAAGACCAGATTGTCTGAAAAGTATTACGCAGTATATTGCTTTTTTGGCTAGCTGCCGCGCGATAACAACGGCAACAACACCGCTACTGAAGAGCAGCGTCAAAGAACATAACCAATTCACCCAGCAATCTGTATATCTGTCTGCTTTAGCCAGATTCAAGCCAGCTGCTGCAATACGACGCACGCACACGCTACTCCACGTATTACTACCCCACCACTGTCCATGTCGCCCGCGACGTTCGGATCAGCAATGCAGACGCCACTCAATCGTAACCAATTCATCTGTATTCAGTACACAGTCAGGACGAGACTGACAAAAGGACATCTTGCCGAACTAAACTAGAATTTGACACTCGCCGACCACTAGTTCGAGCTCTCTACTTCGCTGCTCTCTTATTATTCTATAATAGTCCAATACTCTCCATAAACACACACAAACCTACCATACAACTGTTACAGCCTGCGCTTAGAAAAATACTAATACAGTTATAGTTGTTGATCTAAACGCAGATTAACAGCCGCAGACAATTATATATATACATATATAGATATCAATATATATATACAAGCTGCTAAACGAACGTGTCCTTCACGAGCACAGGTAAGCAGACAGACCCGTCTAGACGAGCTGTCGAAGCAAACTGTGCAGGACAAAGAACGCAACATCTATTTAGCTTTTAGTACAACGCTGGCTGCTAGTGAACACTGCCCACGGCAGAAAAACAAGGCAAAGAAATAAAAACGTAGTGACGTTGGAAAACTCTTGAACCACTAATTGTAGTGTCTAATCCGAAGCAACGCCTGCATCTTTTCTACGAAGAGAACACCCCTTAAGCTAAGTCAGCAAGCGAGGGTAGAAAACTTCGTCTCGACCCATTTGTAAACATCAGACCAACATAAGGATCGCAACAGGATAAAAAAAATCATAAGACAAAATCATATCAACTCCGATAATAGCAAAAACCTACTTGCGTACCAAACCAAATCTCAATCGCTATCAGCAACACAGTATCTCTATTTAGCATCTTCAACCAACCTATGTTCTTCAACCCAACCCAACCCACATCAGATCTATCCTTCCTGTTCTTCATCTTCAACTACCAGTAAACTAATATTTTGACACTTACAATTTCCTTTTCTCAACTTCCGATAAACACGCTTGTTGACTTCTCGCAAGCATTCGACTGCCTAAAGGAAAAATCCAAATCAGTAACATCTTCGTCATCATCTGAAACAACGAAACCATCATCCCTAAATCAATCAAAGAAGTACCAGTCGACGCAATCCTTCGACCGCCTTTGCACTACTTTGCACTACTGTTCACCTAATCCTATTTAATCTACTGCTACTTCCGAAACAATCTTCTATCTACCTTCCGAGTTACGTCGTCGTCTACCACTAATTTCCCTCCACTCCCACCCCACCGAGGTAAGAGTAAAGCAAAAGGTGGATATACGCACGTTATTGTCATCCAAATTTCAATCATTTTACATACGCGAGATACACGAAAAGTAAAAGCAAAGGCAAACGTCCCATATTGTCTAGTGGGAAAATTGTTGGGACATTCCAGCCCATTTTTCTATTCGGTTCATATGCGGGATGAGGCGCAAATTGTTCTTCACTGTTGACCTCCATAGCTGCCCGCACGAATATGTATAAGTTACTATAGAGATAACAGAAGAATCAGTTTCGTGTAATTGCTATTCAGGCTCTAGCAAAATTTCGAAAACACATAAACTACTTTTGGATACTGTGAAGACCGATTTGAAGGCTGGTGTACCTCACACGAGGGAAATCTGATTCGATAACCCGGAGTAGCTCTATGTACTTCATTGATAAGATGAATTCCATTCAGGAAAATAACCAGCGAACCCATTTAACTCTCAAGAACTTTTTCAAATCTGTTTCGTTTACAGGTTCAAATCGTTACAAAGTTATCGAGGAAAGAGCAGACTAGGGTCATCTACTCACTTCAGTAATGGTAAGTGTCGAGCAACGAAGTGTTCGCTTGAGCCAGGCTCAATCGAAGCGACCGCATTGGTCCATCATACGTGATACGTTCGATCTATACAACAGGATACGGTATATGACCAATGATGTATATACGTGCATTTCGTGGCGGCTAGGGAAGTCGGTGCGGATCTATGAATGATAAGTTGACGGAATCGTCTAGTGTATGTAAATTTTGGTGTTAGGAAACGTCACTGTTATCTGGAGCTATGCACGATTTTGATACTGGATATTGATAGTGGAGATATTGTCGATAAAATCGATTATCCAGTCATTATAGTGCGAAGTGTCATTGAGCCGCTCATATGATAGTACAGCACGAGGCCTATTAGTGGACAAACATATAGATTAGAGAGTGGATGAACATGTATAGGTTTCTTAGATATCATCTATGAATATACAAGTTCTGCGCTGATACCAGCCCGTGTCAGCGCACAACACGCAGGATCAATTCGTCCGTATTTTCTCAACATGACGAGAATCAGGATTGGCATTTTTAGCCAGCACTCCTAATGACGAGTCATTATTAGGATTAGCATTAAGTTGTAAAATTATCCATCGGCCACAGCTTTAGCGACATTGCTTGCTGTCAGTCAGTGGTCACTGCCACTTTATATGCATATGTCTGCGTTGTTCGCGCGGCTTTCCCTGCGTACCGGCGGGGTCAGAATTATCGGTGGCAATGGTGGGCCAGCGAGCTTCTCCCAACTTGGTCCTGTTGCCAAGGCCAAACCTAGGATCTATTATTGCTATGACGTTGCTGTGACACGAAAAAGGATCCATAGTCCAAATCTAAGGACAGCTATGGCTGACGGCGCGGAACCGATAAAGCGTGATCTCCAGAATGGTATACAGAGATCCTACGGCACAGAGGCGGTAGTACCGGGAAGAAAGAGGGAGTTCTTTCTAAAGGGGCCAGTTGGTCTGTGTCTCACTTGTTTTCGTCTTGCAGCACGGGCATCGTTGGGGGGTTCATAGACATTTTTCTGTTCATCCTATAAAGGTTTCGTATGGGGCTCTGCGCTTTATTGTGGCGACGAAGGTCGTCTAGCTAGAATCTAGAGAGAGAGAGAGAGAGAGAGAGAGAGAGAGAGAGAGAGAGAGAGAGATGTTTGCGAGCTATGCCTTTTCACGCTTCCTTGTTGTCTCGCACGTGAATTGCCTAACGATCGAAAGAAGAACAGGATACCGCTGTTGCAGAAGCATATTGGCGAAAAAAATCTATTGTCGAGCTGGTCTCGATGGCCTGCCATAAAAATAATTCCTTCTACTGCTTTGGCGCCATACACACACATGTAAAGGTCATACGTTAACACAAATTGGTTAATATGTTATCTGGTCTATTTTACAATTCAATACTCGTATGTTTGCGTATATTTAATATGTGGTCCTTCGTGCCAACTTCAGGCTAAATGTCTGTAGTATTAGATTTCGGCATGCATAATAAGTAAATATTGGACAACTTTTTGCAAGCAAAGAAATTCGTAGGCCAAAACTGCGGCGTAAATGTCACCTTAAGTTTAAAGAATTACTCAATATTGCAAACGATCCTAACAAATATTTGTACTATTATTATGCCGTATATATGCAGGGTTTCATCTCAATTCTAAACGAGCGCATTGATCTTCATTCGATTAGTTGTCCAAAAGCCAGGCCGACCTAGTGTTTGTCTTACCACAGATTGTTTTTTCAAACAATGTAATGGTAATGACGAGACAATGCAACGTTAGTTAACATAAGCTTAGGGTGTTCCGTAGGTGGATTGTATGGTACCGACCTTCTATGTAGTACGCAATGGTACAGGAACGTATCAGTGTCCGACTGTTATAAATTAGCAGTAAGTAAGTTCATAAAGAATATAAGTGGTTTTTCAACGACAATCGTAAAATTACACACTAGAATCATAGCAAAACATTTAAATGGAACTAGTTAAACGAATCACATTCACAGGTGCCAACAAGGCCTTATAGCATGGCCTTAGATCTTAGACAAAATAGTTCTGCTCAGTTGTGCCAGCTCCTATCCTGCTGCATGAGAAAGCAGTATTTGAGGGAGAGCAATAACACCAAATGACACGTAATTTTACGCAAACAGCTCAGGAGTAGAGGCTTCCAAGCGTGACATAACGAAAAAGAAGCCCCCGTTTAATAGGCATACATTTGGTGTTGACGTATAATTGCATTCACTCGAGTGCACGGAAAAGCGAGATTATCTTTATGTAGCCATCTTTCGGAATACCTTTGATTGTCCTCTGCTCTCCATTTTGTTGGTAAGCCTTGCTTTTGTTGATAGCCTCGCCTTTCTGAGGGCAAATAATTTAAACGCATGGCAGCTCCAAATGCAATAAAAATCACACAGATAGGCATAATTGTGTTCATTAGCCAGAAGAACAAATGGGTAGGCCACCATTGAGCATGCTTTGTTCGCTTTTGAGCGTAATACCTACCGTTTCACTACCCCTCGCGCCAGATCAGAGTTAGAAATGCCCAAGTGCACAGTCTGCAGCCCAGTGCAGTATAATCGCTAGTTTAATTTCTTCACCTAGTCAAGTCGATGCGGGGTTTTCGCTAGAGTGTCCTTCTAAAGGCACAATGAATCTAATGAAGTGTCGTCAGAATCTAACGGCTTTCGTTCTGGGCACCTACCGTACCGAACGGGTTGATCTGCTGCGTTCGTACGGTTGCCTATATCGATCGATGACGGGTAGAAATAAAGCTACCATACGACGTTTCGCCAGGGCTATGTTATTTTTTCAGAATCGATTACGTACTCAAAAAGTTAGAATTTCTCGATCTTTAATCGGTCGGTAGCCTCTTCTACGAATCGAACACCGGTGAGAAGTTCCTGAAAAAGATTTAGTTATTCTAGTTCATCAATTCTGTTAAAGCATCAGAAATATAACTATTCACCCTATTAGAAATACACCATATCCGAAATAATTTCACCGTAACGGAAGTAGCGGAACCGAAAACTTTTGCGTCTTACGAAAATTGCAGACTCAACGCTGCCAATGGCAATAATGTACTGTAGAATGCTGTATACTTATAATACCCTTGTAATGCCACACTGCAATGGACGGGGCAAGTCAATGAAAAGTTAGCATCTTCCTGAATAAAAGTAATAATAGAAATGGCAATTTCTAGTTCAAGAGGTTTTTTTTTACCTACAAATTACAACAGGTCTGAGCTGACCGCAGTCTTTCAAGAGGGCTTAAAATCCAAAGAACTTATGAAGACATAGACAAAAAACTATAATATAATAGTTTTGATGGCTCGACGGCTTCCCTTATCATTTGTATACGTCGACCGGTTAGTTTGTCCGTAATAGTTAGGTTAGGTTGTTTCACGTAGTGGGTGGTCCCGTAACGACAGAAACCATGGTAAGATAAACCCAAACCTTGTTCTTGAAAGCCACGTAGTCCTGAACACCGATACAGCCCTATCACAGTCTCCGGCGTCTATGTTGGTGGGACGTAGCCATCTTAGCTAGTATGATAAGATCTGAAGACACGCCGCCACCCGAATAAAGAAATGTTTAGAAAATATCCTATGGACCAACTCGAACATATATATAATAGACCTTCAGCTTGATATAATGAGTTCAGATGCGGTTCATTACTTTACGCTAACGGAGAAGCAAATCATTATGCATCGGTGTCTGAACAAAGTACCCAACGAATGTGATTCATGTTAATCGAAGTATCGGTCTGATACCTACCGGAAGGGGTGTTTTCGCCACATAACTACCTCACTGCGAACAGCCTTATCTTTAGCTAACAACTTATGATTGTATGGCTGTATCCTGCAGCCGCAGTAATTACTTTACCTTCTTACAAACACTCACGCGTCTATTTCCTAGCAGCGTTAGAGAAAACCATATTTTTTCAACTCTATAGTCGACCTCCAAAGTCTGCTTCATGAAGGCAAACCGACAGTAAGATTTCCTTACAGGACACGCTCATAAAGACGCTTATTCGGTGCATGATTTGTAATCTACAAAGTATTATTTAGCAGCGTACAGCTTCGATGATACACGACAGTGAGTTTGGTTTGATTACAAACCTAGCAGCCTGTACATGGTTTCCCAGACGAAGCTTTTCGATGTCGATTGAATAATGAAAGAGGAAAAATCCCTACGGACGACGAGTTTAGCTTCACTTCATATTTTCCTCTCAACCCTGAATGCCCCGTGTTTCCTGTTTTGCGTTCAGTATTGCCGTTAGGCATAGTTCCATCAGACGGTTTTCTCTGTCTCTGTCTACACTGCAGTAACTGTTCTAAATGTGCTGACTTTTTTTCCGTTTTTACCACAACAGAGCCAGTGATGTGATGTGATCTCGCTGTTAGTAGCGCAGCACGATCATCGCCCCCAATCGTAGCCATTGTCATCCTGCATTCGTCATGTCATTGTCTCTCATAGCGTTGTAAATATTATCAGCTTCGTTACTATGTACAACAGAAACGACTGACTGGATAGTATATTTGCAGTAAGGGTACGGGTTAAAAAGGTTTGTTTTTTATGTACAAAATTATCGTATGGATACTTGCCGAGTGATGTTCGGTAGATCGTAATATCCCTATGGAGCTTTCAACACCAATTTGTCGCTTGGATTCTGCGTCATTCCAACGCGGTCTCTTTGCGACAAGCGAACGATACTGGGCCTTCGTAACCCAGCTTCTGGTCCCTGGGGGCAGTGCGAGAAGTTATTCTATGGGTTATTTTCCTGAAAAATCCCTTCAGCTGTGAACATATTAGATAACGGAGATGGAAACGTTCTATCAGCGACAGTTAAGCGATTGTGGGATACTTCTAGCTGTACGATGTAATCCAAATAAATATATTTTTCTCTTTATATCGGCGCTTTCATAAGTCATAGTAGACATCGCCTATATATATATACATAGTAGAGATCGCCTAACCATCGAAGATAATTATGGACCACGTACGGTTACCATGACTGTCATATTGATG